CCAAATCATAGTTGTAAAGGAGGTTGGGGAATATACTTTCAGCTAGGCAAAATAAAATAAATAGGGTTCTGTTTATAAGGAAAAAGGGTTCTGTTTATAAGGAAAAAGAAAAGAATGTATATTGTATATGCTGTACCAGTATATACAGTATCTGCCAAGCCATCAATTTTCATTGCTATAAAACTCCTAAAGAGCTAAAATAACCAAGAATATCCAACAATACATACACAATAAAGTACATAAACAAGGTTATATCAAATGCCATGAAGAATCAAAATTGTTGAAGAATCGAAATGCCAGATTAATAAAGCTAAAATATGAGAAAAATAAATTCTCCTTAAACCTATCAACTTTTCCACTTTCATTTTAAAAATTACCCCTAATAGCAATTCCACAGCCCAACATTACAATTAAAAAATGTATAACAATATTACAGAAATTCTCCTTATCTAACTCAATGTTTTATTTTAGTAAGCATAAAATACTTAAAAGATTTTATAGCCTTGCTTGTAATCTCACCATCACCAGCACTCCAAACTCCATTCTTTACTCCAAATATTACTTTCCTCAACTGCAAATTAATCAATCATGGATCAGGGAAAGACTATTGAATAAGCACCCCCAAAATTAGTCACCTGTACAAAGTTGCTGGCTATTACACATTACGCTGGAAAAACAGAAACAGTGCAAATGTCCACTAAGGAAGAAAGTCTAAACTTCAATGTGCATCAGAAAGACCTGATAAGTTTGTTAATAATGAAGATTCCCAGGCCCTACCCCCCAGAGACTGTGATTTTGATATAGATGGACCTAGAAGTACAGTCTGAGTTAAGCAAACAACTGATATTGCAAAATCACATCAAGCTAAAGTGATGAAATTCAAAATAGTATATATACACATTGATGACTTCAAGGTAAAGCATAAACACAAATATAAAGCCCAGAAAATATTACAATGCCCAAGCTAAACTTCCAAGACTTCTCCCATCTCTATATCTACCACACCCTCTGCCATTTTCCACTTCCATACACTAGAGACAGGCTGTATTTTCTTGCTTGGGCTTGCCATGTGGCATGCTTTGACCAATGACATATTAGCAGACAGCATGAGAGCAAACGTAAAATGTGCTTGCAGGGTTGAGCTTGCCCTTTGAACTTTTGCAACTTCCTCAGAAGAACATGACCTGAGTAGCCCAGTTACCCCATAAGAATAAGGTACACATGCAGAAGAGCCATCCAACCAATCTGCAAATCTGTGAACATGAAAATAATATTTTGGTATGCCATTAACTTTTGGAGTGGCTGTTGTGACAGTTGACTGATACAAAGTGCAATAAGAATACTGAGTATTTTATAAGAAAAGCAACATCTTCAAAATGTTGTTATGGTTTGTTATTTTGTTCATCTTTCACAAAAAAGCCAGGTAAATATCCTAAAAAAAACAGTCCAGCTCTAGCATGGTTCTTGATCTCATGAATTTTGACTGAAAATGAAACAATGAAGAGAAAAACACTGGGTAGAGAAGAAGGCTAAGTGGGAAAGAGAAAAGGTGAAAGAATTTTCTTAGCTAAGTTAGCAAGATCTGGGAAACAGATGAAAAGAGGTGAGCTATGAGAAGAATTCTAAATTTACGGTATAGAAGCCACCTCATTTGTAAAGTTTTCCCTGTTGTTACTGGCATCTTCCATCTGTGTTTCTGTCTTTGAAAACCTGCACCTTAATTCCCTGCAATTATATGTTTTTGTTGCTGCTATTTCTGTTTTGATTAAGAACCTGATATTTCTTTCAAGGATTGCACCTTTTTTATTTACCCAACTTCTGGTCTCCAATACACCTGATCCTCAACTAAAAATGACCTGCATATAGTTTCTCCTCCCTGACTAGCAATTTGGATCC